CTCTCTCTCTCTCTCTCTCTCTCTCTCTTAGTCCGCAGATACTGAGAAGTCAGGTATCGAGAGGGTGAGGAAGAGATGGTGGACTTAGAAGAGGAAGAAGAAGAACTCTCTCTCTCTCTCTCTGTCCGGTACTAACCTGTGGAGTTGGCGCCTTGATGCAGGTACCTCGAAGATGAAGCTGGAGCCATGGCGCCACAGGTAAGTCTCCCTGGCCTCCGCCAGCCATCTCTCTCTCCAACACTACTCCTACCAGCGCCCAGCGCTGAAGACTACCACTACAGCTACTAGCGCCCAGCGCTCTAGACTACTGCTAGCGCTAAAGCTTCTCCTGCAGCGCTCCTCCAGAGTGCTGCTGCCGAATCCTGAAGACTACTCCTGCCTTCTGCCTACCCGTGAAGTGCATGGGAACTCCCTATGTACTACCTCGGCCTGCCTCCTGACTGCCTCCGACTGCCTGCAGTTGCAGGTGGGGGCAGTTCAGGAGGCTGCTCTTGCCAATGCCAAAACGAGCCAGGGCCTGGCGCTGCAGCTCCTGCTGAGGCTGTCGTGGGAACAGGCCAAAAATAGCCTGTTCCTAAAACCCTGGTTTGGTGCCTGAATGTCAGGGCAGGTGGATCTTATGAGGGCCCGAAAGTGGCCCTCCGTTCCAGGCTGAAAAGACTCAGGGCCTGGAAGGCCCTGTTTTAGGCTGAAACGACATAGGGCCTGCAGGCCCTCGTTTTCAGGCTTTCAGGCTGAAACGACACAGGGCCTGTAAGCCCTTGTTTTCAGGCTTTTAGGCTGCAAACGCTGGTCGGGCCCTGCAGGCCCGTGTGGCTGCGCAGTATGCCACAGCCGTGCATGCACGGCCTCAAGCTGGCACTCTCAGCCACAGGAACGGAGTCTCGTAACCACTACAACCCTTGGAGGTGTTATAAAAACTGGATCCACTACCGGTCATGATATCCAGCCCACCCCCAGGACTGTACCGTCCTTGAACTCACACCACACACACAACACCACACACGGACATGGCAATCAACACACACTCAGCTCGGACAGTGCGCAACCCACCACCGCTACTTAACCCGGTCACTCCATCGTGGGCCAGCTTCCCATGGGTTCCATGAGCGGCTTCACAGTAGTTACTGATCAACGTGCTTTTAGGGCATGAGGCCCCGTCGTGCACTCACGGCCTCAAACCGGCACCCTCAGCCACAGGAACGAAGTCTCGTAACCACTACAACCCTGGGAGGTGTTATAAAAACTGGATCCATACCGGTTGTGATATCCAGCCCATCCCCAGGGCTGTAGCGTCCAAGGAAGATATGGCTGACCAACAGGCAAGTTTTATGATCTATTCGATGGTCTCCTTCTGCATGCATGTGTGAACATTAAGATGGGGAAAAACGAAGCAAAAAGAAAAAGTCTGAAAAACCAAAATGGAAAAGGGAATGATACAGAGAACTGAGAGAAGATTAGCATGGCCCCTGCTCAAGGATGACACATAAATTGCGAAATGGTCCAGATTTAAGGGTGGGGGGGTGAAGAAATGAATAAGGGAAAAACTTCCCGAAAAAGGGTAAAAGAGAGACGACGGAAAACAAAAAGTTTGTGTGCCTTTCTGCTGTGCTCGTCTTCTTGTTCCGTCTTCATTGCAGGCGAAGACACAACAGGGAGAGTCTTTGTCAGTAGACTTGAATGATATCTGTATGATTGATTGACTGATGCATGGACTAATTGATACTTCTGTAGAGTCTGGACTGATTTGATATGCTGCCTATGTGCGTGGAGGATAGAGTAGCAGTTTATGAATGTCTGTTTCTTTTTTTGGTGGGGGCGCTGGGGGGACATCATTCACGTGTAAATAACGAGATTTATAAACTGTCAATATGCATGAAAGACAGAGTAGTAGTTCCTGGATGCCTGCCTGCCTTTGAATCCAGTGCTGTTATGATAGCTTTCATTTACTTCCCTCTTTCCTCCTTTTCCGGCAAGTTTCCTTCTCTCTCATGTCTGCTACTGTGACTGAAATGGAACATAAAACTTTTCATGTAGAAAACTCCAATGTTTTCTTCTGAGTCAAGGACCATTTTTCTATTTCCACTCTCTCATGCAGTGCAAGAAGATAAGGGAGCTACTTGTACATTATTCTGAGGAGAGGAATGCGGAAGGATTTTGTCAGGAGTTCGCTCTTTGCAGAGGTGACTTCTTCTTCTTCTTCTTCTTCTTCTTCGAGAGAGAGAGAGAGAGAGAGAGAGAGAGAGAGAGAGAGAGAGAGAGAGAGAGAGAGAGAGAGAGAGAGAGAGAG